TAACCAACTTTTCTCCCCCCAAGTGCTTAAAAAGGGCTGGGGGGCCTGGCCCCCCCCCCCCCCAGCAACCAGTCAGTGACCAGGGAGAGGGTCCCCCCATGGCCAATCTTGCTGACCGGGGATGGAGGGTCCCCGCAACAAAATTTAGAAATGGGTAAGTGACCGTGCTGCTCCCGAAAGTGGCCGCACTTCTCCCAGAACTGGCCGCGGGGCTTCCAGAAGTGGCTGTGGCCTATATCTAGTGCTCACACTCCCTGGCCAGCACTCACAGGAGGGGCACTGGCTCTCCTGCCTTCCCATCACCTGAGTAGAGAGTACAGCCTGACAGGGGGTGCATCGGCGCTCTCAGGGGGTGCACATGCGCCCCCGTGCACTCCCTACGCATCACCACTGACAAATGGGTTTCTTATGTAACTTTGTGCAGCCACATTGGCCTCTTAACCATTCTTTTGTTGTGTTGAAACAATTTCTTGTTTGGTTTCCCGTGCCCTTTACAAGCTTCCAGCCCCCCTGGGCACCTTTATCCTTCAGTCTGTCTTCCCATGGCACCAAGCCTATTTCCTCCTTGGGTCAGTTGAGATCCACCTTTTTTAAATTTAGCAACTTAGTTCTGCTGACCTGATGCTTTCCCCATTTCAGGATTATGAAATCTATCGATCATGTTGGCTGTATGTTTTTTCCAGCAGATGTCCAGAAAAGTGAAGTCTCCCATCAGTATGATTTCATAACTTTTGGATACTTTTCACCCTTCCTTGAAGAGTACTTCATCCGTTTCTTCTTCCTGACTTAGTGGCCTATAATAACTCCCCATCATTATATTGGTGTTGTATCTTTCGCCTTTTATCTTCAACCAAATACATTTTGCTCTGCTATCTTCTTCCTCCTGAAGCAGGGAATAAGTGTGTGTGTTTTCAACATAAATGCAACAGCATCGCCTTTTCTCCCAGTTCTGTTCTTCCAAAGCAGAGTGTAGTTCTTCAGTCTTTATGTTCCAATTGTAACAGCAGTCTCACCTAGTGAGTAATGTTCAATCCTATGCCTGCTAGATTCTAAAGAGCTGAAATGCTTGAGTTTACTCAGGTTGTAAAAGAGCTGAGTTGCTTCTGCAAGTAGAGGTGAACAGTAGAGTGGCACTTCCTGGCGGTGGCATTCCATCGTGCCCCCCCTCCCCCCATGCTCCCCTGGGGCAGTGCAGTATAGCAGCACCCACAGTAGTGGTATGCAGTGATGGGACAATGTCCCCAGCAGTAGCAAGGAACAATGACAGATTCAGCATAATAGTGCCCCCCCACCCCCCAGCAGTAGTGAAAC